GAAATTGTTATAGGTAAAGTATTTGAGCATTTAATAGGTCAAGTATTTGTTAATCTAATATTCTAATATAACATAATAAATGCGCAATGTTTAGAAGCAAATTTTTTTAAATTTATTTTATTTTATAAGTCATTCCTAGCCATCAGTAGGCTATCTAGATATATCTAGAGATGAAGCAAATTGAAACATCCAATAATTAGTTATTAAATTAATCACTTATCAACTACCAATAGTATTTGCGAAATACATACTTTTTGTCTTTTGTCATGGTATTTGTTTCAATATTTTTTTAATTAAACAGTTAGACTTTTCAATATTTGTGTTATTGTATAGAGGTATATAAATTATCAGAATTTAACAAGCTTAAAATAACTTTCAGGGCACGCCAGTGGCAGTCTTTTGCATACCCTGAAAAAGAGGCCTATGCACGCCTATGTTAATGCTGGTAACATTTTCCCATCCCAATGAATAACTATATGAATGGACGGATCAAATTCACTTTTTATTTGTGATGCAATGTTTTCTCTATGTTGACGACGAGCTCTTCGTATCAATTCTCTATTTAAAGCAATATTATTTCAATCTTGTCCCATTGATTGAACAACAGCTGCTACTACAAAAGTTACATTTCTATTACTTACATTAGCTCGGTCTAATTTTTATTTTATTTTTTTATTTTTATTATTTTAAACTCCATACAGCTTTTACAATATATTACTTATTAATGAATATACATTATAACATATTTTTTTATATACATTTCCAAACATAACACATTGAATATCAATAAATTAAAATTATACAGTAGTATATAGTAGGCTCCTGAAAATTAAATTTAACGGAACAAAAACCTAAATTAGAAAAAAATGTTTAACTAGTTTGACTATTAACTAAAGACATAGTTCTCCTTAAAGGATCATCATCCAAATAATTTTTTGACACTGAAGCAAGGTAGTAGGGGTCACGAGAACGGGTTGTACCTACCTGGAATGCGAAAACCTATTCTAGATAACAAGTCTGGCGAGTCAATTACATCAGAGACTAAACCATGTTTAAGAAACGATGCTGAACACGTCCAATTCGAATAATATCACATTTGGTCCTTGGAGACCATACCACAGATCCATACTCTACAATTGATCTAACTATAGTATATAATATTAACAAACATTTTACAGACATTACCGACCCTGCATGTCGCCTTATAAACCCTAATGATCGCAATGCTTTGGCTACTATTCAGTCAATAAGAGGTGCAAACGATTACGTTGGAGTAAAAATAAAACCTAAATCTTCAACTTGGTTTATTCGCTGTAATATTATCACGTTATCAATAGAGTAATCATATTGAATAATTGAGTGACGTCTCGAAAAATACATAACTTTACATTTATGAATTGCCAGCTCTAACCCAACAGTATTACACCAATCGACTAACTTATTCAACGATTCTTGTAACGAAATAGCATCACTATCAGATTGAACGAAATTAAATAATTATACATCATCCGCAAATGATAGCATTTTGCTGTCAACAGATTCGCATAATGTATTTATTAGAGTATTAAATAAAAGTGGAGACAAGTGCCCACCTTGTGGGACTTCGGAAGTGACTAAATATTCCGCGGATTTTCGATTAAATAAGGATACAAACTGTCGTCGACCGGTTATATAGGATTTGAACCAGGATAGCAGAGGTTCACCTACCCCCAATCTATCCAGAATATYAATTAACACAATATGGTTTATGGAGTCGAAAGCTTTAGAAATATTAGTGAATATCACATCAACTTGAATCATATTTTTGAAGCTATCCCTGATAAACGCAGAGAATTCTAAGGCACTAGTTGTTGTGGAACGACCGCCATAAAACCCATGTTAATTTGTTGATAAAACTAGTTTAAATCTACGTTCAATACATTTATTAACAAACTTTTCGAAAAGTTTACCAATTAGAGGTAAACCAGAAATTGGACGATAATTAGATACTGACCCTGGGTCTCCTGATTTATAAATAGGTGTTACCTG